AGCCATGCCCCACAGGGGATAAAAGTGGGTGGGGTTGCTTTGCAGGCTCCGTGACGGACAAAAACTGCATATTGTGAGCTTCGGATGGGATATTTTTCAGAATTAAGGCTTGGATTTTGTGAATGCCTTCTGACTACTCTTTGAACTCTTGGTTGCCCCAGCAACGGACTACAGATATGCTGACTCCTGTTTCTAGAGGTGATAAGAAACTTGGCAGGCATTCGGAAAGTAGCTGCCAGAATTTTTATCTGCCAAAGGGATTCAGGTCGGCTTGTAAAAATAAATTACTGTAGACGTCTTTTGCTCGTGTGTCTGCCTATGTGAGGTGGGGGGACAGAACAGTTAATCAAAAAAGTCTCTAGGAAGGAAATCTTGTGTGGGTAGTTTCACTTTCAAGAGGAACACACAAAACAGAAGGTCAAAATCTAGGCTGAAATCCAGAGAGCCAAGCAAGATTTGTCATCCAGTCCAAAGGTCAGAATTTCGGGGGGGGGTGTTTACACCAAAAATACACTAGAACCAAGATGGCGAACCTTTGGCATACATCAGTGGTGGGTTTCAAAAATTTTTACTACCGGTTCCATGGGTGTGGCTTGGTGGGCGTGGCAGGGGAAGGATACTATAAAATGTCCATTCCCACCCCACTCCAGGGGAAGGTTACTGCAAAATCTCCATTTCCTCCTGATCAGCTGGGACTTGGGAGGCAGAGAATAGATGGGGGCGGGGCCTGTCAGAATTTTTACTACCGGTTCTCCGAACTTCTCAAAATTTCCGCTACCGGTTCTCCAGAACTGTCAGAACCTGCTGAAACCCACTTCTGGCATGCGTGCCAGAGGTGACACGTGCGCCGTCATCCCAGGTCAGATCCCTGCAAATGACAGAAGCTCATGAAAGAAAAAGATCTTACCTCTTGCCATGCTGCTGGTGTTGGGATGCCCTGCCTACCACCGGCAAGCTTGGTCTTCAGGTCTCTGCTGTGCATGCGTGCATGTCCTCACATGCACGTGTTCATATTTGCAATGCACATGTTCGCATGTGTGCACATCTTTCAGTGTGGGCATTTGGTGCATAAAAGGTTCACCTTCAATGCACTAGAACAACACATCAGGACAGGAGATGAGATACCTAATGGTTGCCAATACAGAAACTGGACTGGTCAGCACTCTTACTTCTATCAGACTGCAGCCAGCTCTTTTCAGTTAAGGGAGTGGCTCCCTGTTTGGCAAGGAGCCGTATTGAGCTTCATTGCTTTGCTCTCTGTGTCAAGGTTCTGAGTAATGAACCCAACCAAGCCTGAGAGAAATGGAACTTAAGAGGTGAAGGGCAAAGAAATCTCAATGTTTCCTTATAAATATTGGAAACAGGAAGGCGGTATCCATATGGGGGCCTTTTCCCTTCTATTCTATATTAAACCCCTTCCCATTATCGCCTAATTTTTATATCCATCATCAAATTAATTAATTATGTGGTTTTACAGTTATTTAATTCTTAAATTAATAATAAACCCACTTCTTTTATAACATACATTTCCTTAACTAATACAATCCAACATTTTAATATAAATCAATTGATTATATAGATATCTTTTTCATTTATATATGAACCAGAAGAAAAAGAAAACCTTAGTTGAATTTAAAAATATTCTGTTATCCTCTAATCATATAGCTTTCCCCCTGTATTATTCCAAATCATCACTTAATCGTTTGTACACACACCACTGTAAACCATTAAAACATTTCAATTATTATTCCAATTATTTTTCAATTCATTTTCACCATCATATGATTTAACATTATCTCTTACTTCAATTCATATTTCAATTCTAGTCATATACATCATATTCCTCTTTCATTTCTTTCCTTTTTTTCCCTTTTCATTTTCATTCTTTCCCCTTTTTTCCTTTTGTGCCTTAAAATCCTGATCTCTCCTGTTTTGCCCTATATTTCCCGTTGTTCCCCTCTCTTTTCTCTCTTTTTTGTTTCACCACTGTTTATCCCACTATTTATCCCAGTATTATCATTTTGTATTTCAAAGTCCTGAACTCTTCCATTTTGCCCTATATTTCCTGTTATTTTCCACCCTTTTTCTCTCTTTTTTCTTTTCACTGTAAATCCCAGTGTAATCATTTAAGTTATTTATATTCCTTCTGTTCCATCCTCCCTTCCTTATTTGTCTCTTTCCATCCTCTTTATTTTTTTCATTGTTAATCCCAATGTAATCTCTAAAAACCTTTTTATTATTACTATCCACATGTTCAGTTACTTCTTCATATTTAATCACATTGTCTTTTATCTTCTTTATTTTCTGATTCTGACTCTGAGGAAACAGCACCAGATGAAGCAGCAGAATTCGAACCCCAAGAGGCATCAAAGCAGGAATCACCAGGAGTTTAGTGACAGAAATAGGCACGATCAGGACAGCTTCAATCAGAAGACAGTGAAATATGTCATTCAAACCCTGGGCCTTAGGGATTACAGCAGAGAGCAGAGCTTAATAAGACTCCTTGCCAAGCAACCCTTGGTTGTTTGGCAACCGCTCTCTACATGGGGCTCCCCTTGAGGAGCACCCGGAGGCTCCAACTGGTACAGAGTGCGGCCGCGCGTGTGGTTATGGGAGCAACATGGCGCTCCTGTGTGACACCTCTCCTGCGCGAGCTGCACTGGCTCCCGGTGGTCTTCCAGGTGCACTTCAAGGTTTTGATCACCACCTTTAGAGCGCTCCACAGCTTAGGACCTGGTTATTTACGGGACCGCCTACTACCACAAGCAGCCTCCCACTGGCCGGTACGGTCTCATAGAGAGGGGCTCCTTCGGGTGCTGTCAGCTAAACAATGTCGACTGGCGGCCTCCAGGGGGAGGGCCTTCTCTCTGGGGGCACCCACTATCTGGAATGAGCTCCCCCCAGAGATACGGAAGATCCTGGATCTGCACACTTTCTGCCGTTCTCTTTTAAGACTCTCCTATTCCAGGAAGCCGGCCTGGCCTAATTTTCTCCCCTGTTTTAAAATTCTTTTAAATCAAAATTTTAATCTATTTTAAATTATTGGGATTTTTAATTGTCTCAGGCTAAATAATTTAATCTGGTTTTAATTATGTTTTTTTAACTTTTATATCTATGTATTTTATTTTGTGCCTGTTCACTGCCCTGAGTTCTTCAGGAGTAGGGCGATATATAAATCTAATAAAACAAACAAACAAACCCTTAATCGAAAAGAGCTGGCTGCAGTTTGAGTTTCAGTGAGAGTGCTGACCAGTCCAGTTTCTGTGTTGGAAACAATTATCTCATCTTCTGTCCTGGTGTGTTGCTCTAGTGTATTTTTTGTGTAAAACCCCCACCCCTGGAAATCCTGACCTTTGGACTGGCTGACAAATCTTTGTGGCTGTCTGGATTTCAGACTAGATTTTGACTTCTGTTTTGTGTGTTCCTCTTGAAAGTAAAACTACCCACACAGGATTTCCTTCCTTGAGACTTTATTGACTAACATTCCTTTCTTCTTCTGCACTTTCTTTATTCAATAGTTCAGTAAATTACTTTACAAAATGGCCCAAATCCAACCCATCTTGAATTCCATTGATGCTTATCTGGCTCAACTTTAGGTGGAGAGATTCTGGTGTAGGAGCTTTAGCAATCACTGCTTTAGACCAGATTCTGACTCTGAGGAGAAACAGTGCCAGATGAACCAGCAAAATTCCAACCTCAAGAGGCACCAAAGCAGGAATCACCAGAAGTTTAGTGCCAAAAATAGGCACTATCAGACCAGCTTCAATCAGAAGACAGTCATTCAAATCCTGGACCTCAGGGATTAGAGCAGAGTGTGAATTTCGAAAGGGATTGGGCCTGTCGCAGCCATTTTCTCCATTCCTCAGCTTGACACACTTTGGGGAGGAGGGGGGGAGAGGGAGCTCTGGAATGTCAGACCAGACATCAACTGTTGGGTTGTATGCTAAAATAAAGCCAGGTCATGACACAGATTTGAAAGTAAATCATGAAGCCTGTAATTGGGGAGTGTGTCTGGCAACAACAAAGAATACTTATCTACAGGAGATATGCATGTGTAAATCTTGTAACAATTCTGGGTAGTTAGAAAGCTGATAAAAGTAACAAGAGTTAGATAACTTGCAGATCTCAGCTAACAATTAGGAATAGATGGCCTGCAGCCAGTATTAGATAACTCCTGGGGCATTCATTAGCCAAGATTTAGGAATAGGGACAGCTAGCGACCAATAGAACAAATTGTAGAATTATTACTAAAATATTTATTAGATGATATTTCTTATTATCCCGCCTTCTCCCACCTTCTTCTTTAGTGAAAATGTATAAAGATTTCTTAATTATTTTTTTCTTGGCTCTTGGCATTTTGGCCAGGAGCTCTTTTCCTTGGAGTACTCCAATAAAAAGCAATCAGAAAAACTGCACTTCGTGTCTGGCGTCCATCGTTGGCTTCGGCACCAGGCTCAGACCCGAAATGGGGACAACACAACAACCTATTGTCCTGTGGGAACCAAGGTCTTCCCAACAGGTGCTGAGGGTATGCGGGAAGAGGCTAGCAAGGAAATGCCAGAACACCTAATTGGACAATGTGATCTGTGACAAGGAGGGAAGGAGGTGCCTATTCTTTAATTATACTGAAAGCGTCAGAACTAGCCAGAGCTGGTTTTGCATTTCAAACATGCCGAAATGATTTATTGATGTACTTGTCGTGGAAAACTGCTTCATCAAATACACCATTTCTTATATACCGCTTCATTGCTGCTTTACTAAGTGGGCTAAGGTTCATGTTAGGCTGAATCTCAGTCTAGCAACTTTTGGTTACTTCTTCTTTAAGACGTCATATTTTTAACTATGTCTTTTGCATATTGTGGGCAATAACAGTTGAAGTTGCAAAATTGAGACAATAATGTCACGCCCGTTCTTTTTATTCTGGGAAAGTTGGCAGTTTGGTCCAGTTTAAGTCCTCTTTCTGACTGTAACTGCATCAAGTGCCAGCTAACAGGATTCATCAGATTAATCGGGAAAAGATCTCATCCTTAGAGTCCAAACGAGACCAGCTGGTTCCATCTGGAAATTCTTCCTATCATCCCAAGGTATGTCTGCAGTAAAAGCAGAGTTTCTGTTGAAGTCATTAATTATCTGCAAGATGGTTCTTTTTGAGACCAGGATAGGACTCATCAGTATGGGCTCCTAGTCTTACCCTGGTCTCAAAAAGGACCATTTTGCAGATACTAAATTAGTATGGGATCAGCTAATCCATCAGGGTCCTCTGGCCCATAATAGAACGCAATTTAGCATCAATTTTTTTTCACAATGGTATGATACCAGTCTTCTCATCCCTGGCTTTGGTAAATCTTAATATTTATTGAAGAGCCCTGGTGGTGCAGGGAATAGAATGCATTATTAGAGGCTAACTCTACCACTGCCAGCAGTTTGATCCTGACCGGCTCAAGGTTGTCTCAGCTTTCATCCTTCCAAGGTTGGTAAAATGAGGACCCAGATTGTTGGGGAGAATATGCTGAATCTGTAAACCGCCTAGAAGAAGGTTGTAAAGCACTATGAGGCAGTATATAAGTCTAATTGTCTCTGCTATTGCTATTTTTTCCTAATCTCGTGCTGTTAATTGTTCACTGCTATCTTTCTGATCATATTTTCTTATTTTTAAAAAATTCCCTTTTTATGATTATGGAATTGTACTCCTGGTCTTTTGATTCCTTTAGTATTGAACTGCAACTAAATTTTAGCTTGATTGAAAGGTAGGAGAAGCTACACCTATTTTGTGCGAATGCCAAACCAACAATGACTTTGGATTCCCCAAGAACACAGTTTGTTTCAGCCATTTTGTCAGTCAGAGGTTTGTTTCCTGTTATTAATTGTATTTCTCCTTAAACTACAGTGTCCCAGGTGGTCCACCTCATCCACAGATTTGAACTCTTTTGCATAATGGAGGAGCAATTTATTTACTCAGAAGGTATGAACAGTATGAAAATTATATTATATATAAAATTTCCTTTTCTTTGTGGGTACTACTCTTAATGAAAACCTCAAGGGTTCTTCATGCTTATTCCAAAATTGAAACTCTTATCACCGAATCATGAGTTCCAGTTGTCCATTCTCTCCTGAGATTGAGGATTGCATTGGCGTTTTATTACTGGAAGCTTCCAGGAAATGATTGGATTGCCGTTTGTCAGAAATGGTGTAGAGTCTCCTGCTTGTGTGGGGGGGCGGTTGGACTAGATGATCTACAATATCCCTTCCAACCATGTTAATCTATTAATTTGTAAAACATTCAGTGAGTGCATTCACAAAATGATTTAGGATGGTATTTTTCATAAAATAAGTCTTATGGAGAATTTAAGAATATCAACACACTGACAGCTGTCACTTCCTGCAGGCCACATCCTCTCAGAATTGTCCTTCGGAAGGACACAAGGGATGAAATCAATGTTTGTGTTCTTCTTTATTTAGAAAAAAAAAATTATTAGAGGACCAGAAGCATTTCTGAAAATGAAGGAAAAACAAGGGTGGGGAAAATAGTTTCCTTTTCAAAATGAACACTCTTAAAAAAAATATTTTGAATTAATTATCAGGTGAAATAATTCTGGGGCAGCTTAGAGGATCACAAGAACTGAATATTGGCTAATGATCATCTGGGCAATGAGAGGAGAAAAAAAACCTACTGGAGATTATTTTATTTATACATTCACAGACTCCCATTCAGGAAGAAACGAATCTGTGTGGATGAAGTTTCTAAAGCACATTAGCATTTTTGCTGCCTGCTGTTATTGATCAAAATAATGACTTACTATAATCGCTTCCGTAGGTAGCGGATCAAGCCTAATGCAAAAACAGAACTACCCTGCTGTTTGGCACAGGTATCACGAGTAAGTATATCATGATACAAAATATTTTCTTTTCAGGAATGGAGTTAGCCATCCAGTTGCTTCATACAAAAGAACGAAGGCTATTGCTATAAGTGCATTGTAAGCTGCCCTGAGTCTTCGGAGGAGGGCGGAATATAAATAGAACTAATAAAATAAATAAATAAATAAATAAATAAATATTTATTTATTTATTTATTTATTTATTTATTTATTTATTTATTTATTTATTTATTTATTCATTCATTCATTCATTCATTCATTCATTCATTCATTCATTCATTCCAAAAGGGATATTGCTTTGCTGCTCTGCCCATTGGTGGCTGGTGGAACAAGATCCCCCTTTTTTGAAGGGAATCTTCCATGGTGGAGGGTGCTCCCCTCTCCTTATAATCTCTCCACACAATCAACAGAATATTCCAGCTTTGTCAGTCTTTGTTGAAATCTGTGGGACTTTCTTTTCTTTTTTTTTTATTGAAAAAGTTTTTCAAATACAAATTTTTCCCCCTTTTCCCCCCCTCCTCCCTAACCCCCCTCACCCCCCCTTCCCCTTTGACTTCTTCATAATAAAACCCAAATACATAACATATTATATCATACTTTGCTATCCACTTACTCCATCTCCATATGCTGACCCTTTCTTTCTAATAAAATTATCACATCCCCCTTATACTATACTATAATATACATTTCAAAGTGACATTCTGTTATGACATTATCTAATAACTCCTAATTTAACATAATAATATTATTATATCTCCCAATTTAACAATTTCTGCTCATAATCTACCCTTTTCAAAACATACTTCCGCTCTAAAACTATTCAATAAATCCTAATTTAACATTTATTCAACTACCCCTTTCCTTCACCCCCATCATTATGTCTCTTAACTCAAATCTTTTACATATATTCACATCTAAACATAATATCCCTTTTCTTTAAACTAAACAATCAATAACCTAACCTATCTCCACCCACTTTCCTACAAAATTACCATAATTATTCTTAATATCTTTATTCTACCCACTCTACTAGAAAAATATTCCCTTGTGTAAATAAAATCCTAAAAAAAAAAAAAAACTTTAGACTTGTAATCCACATAATATCTTCTGTCATGTCTTTCAACTGGATGATAAACTCCATCGCCCACGTTAGGGTAACATCGCATCCTAATTCCAACAGTATTTTCAGTATCTTCAATCACCATCTGCCCCCATCAGTAACAAATATCTTCATGTTGGGAAAAAAAAAAAAAAAAAAACCGACAACCACCCTAGTGACTTTATATTTATATTCCATATAATGTCTATAGAGGTGTCTTTTATCCAGATTTTTAATTCCAACCACCATAATAGGGTAATAACCAGAACTTCTGCGTGCCCCAATCCAGTAGATCTCTTGCCATATAACTCAGCGTACACGTAATATATTTATCAAGAAATCCAAAAAAACAAACAAGATATTTCCAACCATTCAATTTAAGGCCTTTTTCACATCCCAAAAAATTCAGCACTGCAGAGATCTGCTTTATCCTCAGGATAAAATAAACCAATACTTTGCCCATTATCTTTTCGTATATTCAGTCCTCTCATAGGTAACTGGCATTACACTGTTGTTTAGTTTAAAAGTTTTTGTTTTTGTGAAACCTACTTCTTCTTTTCTTGACTTTTTGTGGGTTGGATCTCCATCCTAAATTCCTTTCTGTAGATTGTGTATCGACTATTTGGTTTTCGTGCTGATCTATAACTTGATCCTGTTGGGTTTGCTTTTGTGGCTGAAATCTTTCTGGTTCTGTAAATTGTATATCATCTAATTGACTTCCATGCTGGTTTGTGGCTTGATAAATCATTGCATTAGAATCCAGAACCGCCTCTCTTATATTAAATAATCCAGCTGAAACCTCTGAGGAAGAATCCAAAAGCGGCTCATCTGTGGAGGCCTCTTTAACTTGTTGTTTCTTCATTATTTCCATCTCCTTCTGCTTTTCTTGAATTTCTGTCTCTTGTTGATTTTGTTTTTTAAGTACCTTATAGTAAAATTCTTCCGCTTTTTCAACAGTATTTAACTGATATCTTACTCCTTGATATCTCAATATTATACCCACTGGGACATCCCACCTGAATAAAATATTTTGTCTTCTTAACTCAGTCACCAAAAGGCCAAATTTCTTTCTATCTCTTAAGATCTTAGGCGGCAATTCTTTATATATCCAAATTTTTCTCCCATACAGTTGTAGAGTAGAATTAAAGGATTTTTGCACAATATCATTTCTTATATCTTTATCTGTAAAGTAAATCACCACATCTCTAGGCAATTGCCTTTGCTTTGCAATCCAGGAATTAACTCTATAAGCCTTATCAATTTTACTGAATACCTCCTCAGGACGAACCTTTAAGACCCCAGCCAGAACTTGAGCAGATGTTTTTCTTAAATCATCACTGTTATCTTCCTGTAAGCCTCTGATTCTGATCGCAAATTCTGTAATCCTGTATTGCATCATTACAACTTCTCTTTCAATTCCTTGCTTTATATCTTCTGCATTATAAGTCTCGTGACCAGCTTCCTCTTTAGACTTTACTTCTAAACCATTGTCTCGAATATTTATTAAATCCTTTTCAATTCTTAATATTTTATTGTCCAAATTATCAATTTTCTCCATTTTAGACTCTAGCAATTTAATATTTGTATCCAACTTTATAACAACTTCTGAAAAACCATTAGTCACTGTTACAATCTTTTGTTGCAAATTATCATACTTTAGTTGTATCAATCTTTAATTTCCTGCCTTAATTTTTCAAATTTCTGGTTCACAGTCTCATAATATTTTGCCATTTCCTCCTGAATAAATTCTTTTAAATTAAAACCATTCTGCAGAGTCTGTAGGCTCAGAGCTTCTTCAAAGAGTTGTGGGTGGGGGAGCACCCCCCCTCTTCTTGTCTATCAGGCTTTATTAGTAACGCCATCCTTCCAGCAAACTCTTCTTCCCCCCACCCCCCAAACAAGATCAAGTACAAATCTCCAAGGAGAGAGGAACTTAAAATAACTAATTTTCTTCCAAATTGTAGCCAGCACTATATATTCCGCTACTTTGTATCTGTTATGGAAGGACTCTCACTTTCAGCTTTCTTCTACGTCCCAAGCCTCAGCGGTCGCCATTTTAAAGTTTTTTTTTTTCTCCCTTTCACTTTGAAATGCTTATAAATTCATTAAGGATACTTGCGATTTAGGGTCCCAAGTCCAAGTCTCTTTTTTGATAAATCCATCTGTTAGTTTCGTTAATTGATCCGGTTCCAGCGCCTGGCTCTGCAAAAAGGCAGAGTGCACCCGATGCCCGGAGCGACGGCGAGGGGAAATAGGGAGCTCCAACCTGCTCGTCCCCAAGAGTTAAAAAAGACTCTGGGGACTTCGCAGAGGGCTCTACCTACCCCCGCCCGCTCAGACTCACATTTCGGTCGGGAAATGGAGTTTTTCGAGCCGCCTTTCAGGTGTAAAGGCGGCTCTTTTACAGGCAACGGGGCGGCGGTCACGGAGGACCGTCTGGCGGCGCCGGAAGCCAGACAGGAAGCCGAAATCTGTGGGACTTTCTTGATTATATGACAACTGTCACATAGGGGGTCCACTTATAAGCCTACAATCTTTCCTCTTTGCTTGGGAAAAAGATCAGCAACCTCAGGATCTCCAGAACATTTGATTATAACTTTCTCTAGCCTACAGTTACTAGACATTTGCCATAAGGTGGACATGTACTATTTCTTGTCCTCATTTCCTCCACCTGACAGATGTAGTTTAAATTTTTTTTAAAAAAAGTTTTTTTTTTGTTTTTTAGACAAACAAACATTGAATACATCAGTTTTCTCTTCTCTGTGACATCTCGGTGTTATCTTCCAAAGTTCTTTCTTTTTCTGTATATTTGTCATTACTTCTATCTTGATCCTTATCCAGTCCGCAATATCAATTCATCACTAACATAATATTCAACTCATCACATATTTTTTACATACTTATATGATTAATCATTTATATCTCTTCTCCAACCAGTAATTAAAATCATTCCATATTCAATATTCTGAGTCTTCTCTATCTTTAATCATCAAAGTTAATCTATTCATTTCTGCACAATCTAAGATTTTTTTAATTACTTCTTCTTCCAAAGGTATTTTCTCCGCTTTCCAATTTTGTGCATAGACAATCCTTGCAGCTGTTATTACATGTATTATCAGATAAAAATTTTCCTTGCTAATTTTTTCAGGTAGAATACCCAGTAGGAACAGCTCTGGTTTAAATTCAAGACATTGATGTATCATTTCCTCCAACCAAATTGTTTAGTTTAAAATAGTCTGGTATTTTGAGTATCGAAGTGAGCATCTTTTCTCTAATAAATACAAACTATAGTTATTAGAGTTAACAAACTCCGACTGAAATTGAGCAACATTTCCCATTGTGTGCCTGTTTGCACACTTGTGATCTTTTATTCTCTAATGAATATAAATATTAAAATAATTAGTGTGTCTTCCCCCTGCATCTGTCATCCTTTCCAATTGTTTGTGTTGTCCTTTGCCTCTGCAAATACCAGGTAACCCTACTCTGCCCTCAGCAACAATGGCTAATTGGTGGCACTTGTCCTGAATTACACTTTGAAGGATTTTGGACTGGAGCTTCCATCACTATTGAGTGTAGCAATTCTCCAATCTTTTATTTTTATTTTATTTTATTTTGAATTTGTATACCGCCCTTCTCCCTGAGGACTCGGGGCGGTGAACAGCCAAGTAAAAACATCAAGTACAAATATTAAAATACAGTTAAAATATACATATATAAATTTGGCCCCATTAATTAAAAACAATAAACAAAACACTTAAAAACACTTAAAAAATTAGGCCAGCCCGGCTTGCTGGAAAAGGAAGGTTTTAAGGGCACGGCGGAAGGCACTGAGGTCTTGGATTCTCTTATCTCTGGGGGCAATTGATTCCAGAGGGTAGGTGCCCCCACAGAGAAGGACCTCCCCCTGGGGGTCACCAGCCTACACTGTTTGGCTGATGGCACCCCGAGGAGGCCCTCTCTGTGGGAGCGCACGGGTCGATGGGAGATCGTCGGTGGCAGCAGGCGGTCTCGAAGATAGCTAGGCCCTATGCCATGGAGCGCTTTAAAGGTGATAACCAACACCTTGAAGCGCACCCGGAAGACCACTGGGAGCCAGTGCAGCTCGCGCAGGAGCGGTGTTACATGGGAGCGCCAGGCTGCTCCCGTCACTACCCGCGCTGCTGCATTCTGGACCAGTTGGAGCCTCCGGGTGCTCCTCAAGGGGAGCCCCATGTAGAGAGCGTTGCAGTAGTCAAGGCGAGAGGTGACGAGGGCATGAGTGACTGTGCACAGGGAATCCCGATCAAGAAAGGGCCGCAACTGCGGATCAGGCGAACCTAACAAAAGGTCCCCCTGGTTACAGCCGTCAGATGTTCCTCCAAGGACAGCTGCCTATCCAGGGGACTCCCAGATTGCGAGCCCTCTCTGTGGGGGCCAACGACTCGCCCCCAATAGTCAGTGATGGAGTCAACTGACTATATCGGGATGCCGGGAGCCACAGCCACTCAGTCTTGGAAGGGTTGAGCCTGAGCCTGTTCCTCCCCATCCAGATCCGCACAGCCTCCAGGCACTGGGACATCACTTCAAGGGTATCGTTGGGGTGGCCTGGGGTGGAGATGTACAGCTGGGTGTCATCAGCGTACTGGTGGTATCTCACCCCAAAGCCACGGATGATCTCGCCCAGCGGCTTCACATAAATGTTGAACAGGAGGGGCGAGAGGACCGACCCCTGAGGCACTCCACATATAAGAGGCCTTGAGGTTGACTTCTGCCCCCCTGCCAACACGAACTGCGACCGGTAGGAGAGAAAGGAGGAGAACCACCGTAATACGGTGCCCCCCATCCCCAACTCTTCCAACCGATGCAGCATGATACCATGGTCGATGGTATCAAAAGCCGCTGAGAGGTCTAACAGGACCAGAACAGAGGAACAACCCCTGTCCCGAGCCCTCCAGAGATCATAAACCAACGCGACCAATGCCGTTTCCGTGCAAGAAACTTTAATTTTAGGGCTGTAATTACCATCAGGTGGTCAAATAGTAGATATGTGTTGATACGTGAAGGTTAAAAAATGTGTTTCTGTGTGTTTATCTCTGTGGTGTGTGTATCTATGTATTTCTCTAACAAGGACTGATTCTCCTTTTGTTTCTTTGTGTTATTAGGATAAATGAGTGGCCTTCTGAGATTTTTGAAACATCTGGGAGTAACCCTGAAGATATCAACATTCTTTTCAATACTACTGGAATTGCTCCAAATATTTCTAAAATACCAGAATTTTTTTCTTCTCCTTACGATCAACTGTTCGATAATTTAACACGAAATCTTCTCAGTGGATTCTTTGCCCTTATTTGCCTTTTAGGCCTGGTGGGAAATGGAACAACAATTTATCTCCTGGCCTTTTCCATTAAGAGGAATCCTTTCACCACTTTCATCCTGAATCTCTCCATCGCTGATTTTGGGGTCCTCACATCTCTCATTACTGCAACTATATTTGTGTCAGTGTTTACTCTGAGTCAAAGAACATACATTGTCGATACCTTTTTCTTCTTACTTTTTGAGTTCTTTTTCTTCACCTATTCTGCTAGCCAGTTTCTGCTGACGGCCATCAGCCTGGACAGGTGTGTGGCTGTTCACTTCCCTATCTGGCATCGCTGCCATCGTCCGCCATATTTCTCCACACTTGTTTGTGGCCTCATCTGGATCCTCTCCTTCCTGCTCTCTGCGGTGCACTTCATTCTCCAGCAAACCAGGACCTTTGGAAGTTCACCTTTGCTTTACCAGCTGATTGTGAATGGTTTACTTTGTACGCCTCTCATGGTTGTGTCTACTGTCACTCTCATGATTCAATTGAGGTCTAAAATGCAACGCAATCAAAGGAAACTTCTCACCACCATCTTTCTGGCTCTCCTTTTCTTCCTCCTACTTTCTCTCCCAATGAATGTCTTTTACATCATTGAATATTTTGATACCTATAATCTCCTCCTCATGTCCATTGGAATAGGATGTGCCACTCTCAATAGCAGCATCAACCCACTCCTTTATTTCTTAGTGGGGAGGAAGAAGAGAGGAAAGCATCAGCCCAGAGGATCTTACAAGGTTGCTCTGCAAAGAGTCTTCAAGGATGAGAAGGGAAGCCTGGAAAATCAGAAAACCAAGAAGGAAGGCCATTTATGAAGAGTCATAAATATTGCATATTGCTGTTTAACACAAAATGCAACATTTTTGATCTTGAAAAATTTCAGAAATAATACCATTCAATTATATTTTATAATATGTTTATTATTAAAAATAATTAATTAGTGGCTTTCTTTTTTGACTAAATATATGTAGCTTCTGTAATAGTAAGCCCTCCCTCCTGCCACTCTAAAGATTACTCCTTTTAGTAATCTTTTCTTTTCATTCGCAAACCTCTTCTGGGTTTATATTCTTAATCTTGTATGGCTGTTTTTGACATATAAGGTTTTTAAAGGATTTTTTGTGAGGGCATGTGTGTTGATGATAGATAGAAAGATGATAGATAGATAGATAGATAGATAGATAGATAGATAGATAGATAGATAGATAGATGATAGATAATGTAGATAGATAGATAAAATAGACAGATAGAGACAGATATAAATGATATAGAGATGTAGATGTAGATGATATAAATATAGAGATAGAGAAATAGAGATGATAGAGAGAGAGATGGTAGGGGTAGAGTCAGAGATAGATATATAGACATAGATGTAGCTGTAGAAAGGTAGTAAGATATAGATATTATTTTTTCAAAATAATTTTGCACTTTATGTATTTTATTTTTTTTTCAGCTTTTGTTTGCATTCTAGCCTTTTAATTCTGGTCTATAACTAAAATAAATATTTAATTTGATTTGTATTATGGAATTGGAGGGAAGGCTTTCTTTCTCAAGGAGCTAAAAGGCAAATCAGCCTTGAGTTATTGCAGAAAGAGGTTCAGGGATTCTCTCTAAAAGTTGCATAGGATTTATCTGATAGATAGGCAGAGTGTGCTTTAGTCTGGCAAGATTCCTGTCTATATGCAAACAGCAATAAAGAAACTATTCTAAGCAAACTGTTGTATTGTTCTTGATTTCCTGCACTTGACTATTTGATGGTTATGCCCAGCAGCTGCATCATGAATTATTTTCTTTTGGGAGGTCTGCGGGCAAAGGGAAAGGATTGCCAGCTTGGAAACAGCTCTTGGTGCTGAAGGTCAGCTGTGCAATGTGTCTAAAAGAACATAGATGGAATGTCAGGGGTCCAAGTAACACCCCCAACTGAAATAAAACTCCAAGGGAGGCATTTTCCTCAAAGTTCCATTTTATTAGAGATGTCATATTGGCACATCTGGGAAAACCCAAATGTGAAAGTCCCCTGGGTTTTCCCCACCCAAAGGAAAGTCAAAATCCCTTCCCCTGCACCCACATGTCCATCACATGGTCCAATCAGGTCCCCACCCCGACTGGAGTTGATTCTCAATCACACCTCTCCAGGTGCAGGCTGAACGTCCTTGACTCCCAGGGAAAAGAATGTTGTTATGTCTATAGATCTCCCTTTGTCTCCTTCCAACCGCCCTCCCATTTCCCACAGCATGCCCATCCACCAAGTGTGGATCCAAAGAAAAAGATGGCCTCCACAGCTGAAATGGAAGTGAGATGGGTGGGGTGAATGATTCTTACCAGGGACTCAAAATCTAGTCTGAAATCCAGGCAGCCATCAAGATTCGTCAGCCAGTCCAAAGGTCAGAATTTCTGGGGGGGGGGGGGGGTTACACAAAAAATACACTAGAACAAAACAGGACGGGAGATGAGATACCGAATTGTTTCCAACACAGAAACTGGACTGGTCAGCACTCTTACTTCTATCAGACTGCAGGCAGCTCTTTTCAGTTAAGGGAGTGGCTCCCTGTTTGGCAAGGAGCCCTATTGAGCTTCATTGCTTTGCTCTCTGTGTCAATGAACCCAACCAAGCCTGAGAGAAATGGAACTAAGAGGTGAAGGGCAAAGAAATCTCAATGTTTCCTTATAAATATTGGAAACAGGAAGGTGGTATCCATACGGGGCCCATTATATCTGGCATGCCTGAGAGCTGGCCAGAATCTCATAAAACCCCTAAATTTGGTTCGAATGAAGCAGCAAAAATACAGGTAGTTCTCAACTTACGACCACAATTGAACCCAATTTTTTTGTTGCTAAGTGAAACATTTGTTAAGTGAACTTTGCCCCATTTGACAACCTTTTCTGTGTCACAGTAGTTCGGCTTTCTCAAAGAAGTGCTTCACTGAATACGTCATTTCGGCATGTTTGAAATGCAAAACCAGCTCTGGCTAGTTCCGACGCTTTCAGTATAATTAAAGAATAGGCAGCTCCCTCCCTCCTTGTCACAAGTCACATTGTCCAATTAGGTGTTCTGGCATCTCTTTGGTAGCCTCTTCCAGCCTTCCCCCAGCACCTGTTGGGAAGACCTTGGTTCCCATGGGACAATAGGTTGTTGATGTCTGGTCTGACATTCCAGAGCTCCATACTCCCCACCCCACAAAGTGTGTCAAGCTAAGAAACGGAAAAAATGGCTGCAACAGGCCCAATCCCTTTCGAAGTTCACACTCTGCTCTAATCCCTGAGGCCCAGGGATTGAATGCCGTATTTCACTGTCTTCTGATTGAAGCTGGTCTGATAGTGCCTATTTTTGGCCTAAGCTTCTGGTGATTCGTGGTTTGGTACCTTTTAGGGTTGAAATTCTGCTGGTTCATCTGGCGCTGTTTCCTCAGAGTCAGAATCTGGTCTAAGGCAATGATTGCTAAAGCTCATACACCAGAATCTCTCCACCTAAAGTTGAGCAAGATAAGCATGAACAGAATTCAAGATGGGTTGGATTTGGGCCTATTTTGTAAAGTAATTTACTGAAATATTGAATAAGGAAGTGCAGAAGAAGAAAAGAACATCAATCAATAATGTCTTTAGGAAGGAAATCCTGTGTGGGTAGTTTCACTTTCAAGAGGAACACACAAAACAGAAGTCAAAATCTAGTCTGAAATCCAGAGAGCCAAGCAAGATTTGTCAGCCAGTCCAAAGGTCAGGATTTCCAGGGGTGGGGGTTTTACACAAAAAATACACTAGAGCAACACACCAGGACAGGAGATGAGATAATTGTTCCCAACATAGAAACTGGACTGGTGAGAACTCTCAATGAAACTCAGACTGCAGCCAGCTCTTTTTAATTAAGGGTTGTTTGGCTAGGAGCCTTCCTGAGCTCTGCTCTCTCCTGTAATCCCTGAGGCCCAGAGTTTGAATGCCATAATTCACTGTCTTCTGACTGAAGCTGTCCTGATCCTGCCTATTTCTGGCACTAAGCCCCTGGTGATTCCCGGTTTGGTGCCTCTTGGGGTTGAAATTCTGCTGGTTTATCTGGTGCTGTTTCCTCAGTCAGAGTTTGACTCCTGACCTAAACCAATGATTGCTCAAGCTTATAGACCAGAATCTAGAGTTCAAATCTGAATCGCAGCCTGATAAGCATCAAAGGAATTCAAGGTGGGCTGAATTTGGACCATTTGTGGGGACATAACAATGGTAGGCTGATGATTTACTTAACTCCACCTGGCACCCCCAGTTTCACCTCCTCTTCTCCTACACTTTCATGCATTTGAACCATTATCCATTATGCTTAATGGAATAAGGGAAAGTTATCGTGGATTTACCACATATGGTGGGATGTGCATTATTGCATGAGGGAGGGGACCTCTGCTGAGGAGTCAAAGGCAAATTGGACAAGAATCCTTGGAATGAAGGAAGAGGCACAGAGTAAACCCTCCGGAACCCTTTCACGGAGTATATCTAAGAGTTATGCATATTGTGCTGTAGTCTGGCAAGATTCCTGCCTATGTCATATCTATGTCATTTTTGGGTCCTTGCTCCTGATATCACATTTTTTAAGAAGATGTCACATGTAAATAGAAAGAAAGAGACCCTCCAATATCTCCCCCATTAAGTCATGGGGACCTACTGCTCCTTTCAGAAACCATCTCCTTCCAGGTACAAAATAAAAGTCCTTCAAGATTTTGTCTGTTTGGTTGAACCAATCAGAAGAAAAACTGCATTTGGTTAAAAATGTACATTAACCAGCAACATTTGCACACGGGATTAAATGGGCAAAACGGTGAAATGTTGCATTGTTTCCTGGAGTCTTCTCCTTAACTACATCTTTAGCATATTGTGTGCAATAACACGATGTTGCAAAATTCAGACAAGAATGTCACGCAAGTTCTTTTTATTCTTCAGAGAAAGTTGGCAGGTTGGTCCAGTTTAAGTCCTCTTTCTGACTAACTGCATCAAATGCCAACTAATGGGATTCATCGGATTAATCAGGAAAAGATCTCATCCTTAGAGTCCAAATGAGACCAGCTGGTTCCATCTGGAGATTCTTCCTATCATCCCCAGGTACGTCTGCAGTAAGAGCAGAGTTTCTGTTGAGGTCATTTATTATCTGCAAGATGGTCCTTTTGGAGACCAGGATAGGACTCCTTAGTATGGGCTCCTAGTCCTGCCCTGGTCTCAAAAAGGACGATTTTGCAGATACTAAATTAGTATGGGATCAGGGTCCTCAGGCCCATAATGGAACTCAATTTAGCAGCATTTCTTTTCACAATGGTATGATACCAGAATTCTCATCCCTGGCTTTGGTAAATCTTAATATCTATTGAATAGCCCTGGTGGTGCAGTGGTTAGAATGCAGTATTACAGGCTAACTCTGCCCACTGCCAACAGTTCGATCCTGACTGGCTCAGGGTTGACTCAGCCTTTAATCCTTCTAAGGTCAGTAAAATGAGGACCCAGATTATTGGGGACTGTAAACCGCCTAGAGAAGGTTGTAAAGCACTATGAGGCAGTATATAAGTCTAATTGTTACTGCTATTGCTACTTTTTTCTAATCTCGTGCTGTTAATTGTTCACTGCTATCTTTCTGATCATATTTTCATATTTTTCAAAATTCTCTTTTTATGGTTATGGAATTGTACTTCTGCTTTTTTAATTCCCTTAGTTTTGAATTGCAACTAAATTTCATTGCTTGATTGAAAGGTAGGAGAGGCCACACCTATTTTGTGTGAACGGCAAACCAACAATGACTTTGGATCGCCCAAGAACACAATTCCTTTCAGCCATTTTGTCAATCAGAGTTTGT